TCGACAACTTTACTTATATTCGTAAGTAAGTAGGGTTTCGAGACTACCAGTAAATCAGTGTAATGAGATGCTCAAGAGACAGAAGAGCCAGTCACTTGGAGCTCAAGTAATGGATGGCCTCTGCTGTATCCGTTCAAGCGTGACGCCGCTTCTGCTTGCGGCCGTTGGCCAAATGTATGCTTCTTGTGAGTTCGTTTCTCAGACGTCAGGACGATGGAAAGGGCGGCAGTTGTCCCCCCAATCTCACGCCCTGGATACTCCCTTCCTCTGGCCCTCCTACCGATTGGGCGGACAGCCTTTGGGCAGATGGGTCACGAACTGCCCCACTCTCCGTCGTCAGGCCTGCTCGACTCTCCGGTGTGCCCACAACTGTACCCTCTAGTGGGTGGGACTGCAAGCACTTGGGTATGGCGGCAAAGAATGCATGTTGATACGGCGACTGTATGGGTTGAAAGAAAGTGAGCCGTGCTTGAAAAAGATCGAGATCTTAAGCCAAAGATGTCGGCAGTTGCCGATCAATATGCTATAGTAGTAAACCATGGACTGGATACCAAGTTGATTTGTATTGAATTGGGGCATCTCTTCACTCTACAGAATGAGAAAATCAATTAATTTCGTGTGCCTGTATGCAAAAGTGTGCGTGTCTGGGTGCCTACAAAATCTCAGGTCTATTTCTGCGTAAAATTTGCCTCTACATGCGACGGTACATGCAAGGCTGTACCTGCTTTCGCAGACTGCCTCCACTCACATGCGCCGATGTACGCAGACTAACCGTCACCCACACCCACACCCACACACACCCACACAAACACACACAAACACACGCAGAAACGCATACAATTGCTTGCTAGCCCTGGCCTGGATGGATCTCCGGATCCTTCGGAGGAGGTAATAAAATCACCTTTGCCTGCTTCATACTAGCGCCGCTGCTTTCAGTACCCCCGCCATAGCTCGCTCTGTTCTTTCCCTTCATGCGCTTCTTTCCACAATCCGGTGTCTTCCAGGGCGTAGTTCTGCCGGTGGCAAGGTAAAGTGGCCGATTTAAATATCGACAAACGGGCCAAGTTAGCCCTTTCTTGGGCAAGACATCCCGCCATGAAGGGGAATTGCTTCTTCATCTTCCCTTTCCCAGAAGTGATGATTTCCTCTCACAACTTCAACCAACTGGTAGGTCACACCAACGCCTCAACAGCCTCGCAATCAATCGGAAAGTCTACAGCAGTCACTTTACAAACTTCTGCTCCGAATGCACTTGAAAACAGACCTCCTAAAGATGCACATCACCCGAGGGTTTTATGTGTTGTGATCCCGGGATATGGAGGATGCCTAAAAGGACTGGTCCTCGGATTGCCCCATCAAAGGCCATTATGAGGCTGACTTTTGCACAAAACATTAGCTCTGACGACTGCAATCACCTAAACTTCTGTCACTCAGCAATAGTTGCCCTAGCAGCCAGGCTGTGCAGTAGCTTCAGCGCAAAGATTGCGTCATCGATGGCAGTTGAAGTGCCCTTAAGTTGAAGTATTTGGGATTGCCTCGAAGAAACGGGCTATGCATGTCAACACATCCCTTATAAGGAAGAAGGTATAAGGAAGAAGTATCCGCCGCTCCTGAACGGACAACAGATCCCTCGAAGATCCTCCCTCGAAGAGATATCCAACTCGGGCCAGGAATATAGGAAGGTTGTAGTGTACCATCTTACTTGAAGTTTTATTATTTCACTATATGGTCTGACATTTAAGTTTCTCAGAAAAATTCCCCTCTCTACTGTGCCCTAATAAGTGCTTAGAGCGAGTAACCTGTCCTAGATTCTCCTTAAAATGAAATTAAGTGAAGCTTCCAAGTCAAATGATCCTAATGGTTCGTCATTAAGACTCACGTCATGGGATAAAATGGAAGTTATTTAATATCCTCCTAGATGTTTAATGTAGTCATTTCGACTTAGCCGACTGGTTGGTTCATGTAAAATTGCGTCATGACTGGATATGGATTTACTTTTCATTTTGTGGGAACTCTTGGAAGATTAGATAATAATACATGTCCTTGCCCAACAAAGGCAAAACTATTAACTCCCATAGACACTTTTCAGCATGCTTTGATTCTAGGCAAACAGGATCAGGCCAATCTACATTCCACTTCTTAGTTATGTTTCTGGCCCTAGAACTAGCGATAATATTTAATGTATATAACAATTAGCAACGACTTCCAATATCATTCAAAGGTTGCAATTGTATGGATTTTGCCTTTCGTTCACTACCGTCATCGATCAGTCTCGTTGGTAATATAATTCAGCTCGTTTAAGAAACAGTAGTATGAGATGTATTTACCCAATTTCGTTTAATGTGATGAAGGACTGGTAGAAGAAGAATTTTCCCACAATGACATGAGTTGAGCTGACGTTTCCATCAAATTTCACATAGCCTTGCTTTCCCAAAAGTTGTTCTCATCCCGGCTGGAGTGGACTGCAGCTTTGACCTCCCATCGGTCTTATCAACACCCCCAGCGGGAGTCGATCCGTGACAATGCAGAATGTGAGCTTGACACGTTAACTACTCCGCCACATTGCCATGAGTGCCCTTGGGTCACAGGGCAGATGTGAATTTCAAGGAAGGCCAGACACTTTTGTCATATCCTATTCTTTTGGTGGAATTGCCGATGAAGCAAAAGTATATCGACTAATATACTTTTTTTTCGAATTAAATATTGTTTTTCGTGTCCATCAGTAAATCAGTTATATGAAATGTATTCACCCAATTTCGACTCCCGCTGAGGGTGTTGATAAGACCGATGTGAGGTCGAAACTGCAGTCCACTTCAGCCGGGATGAGAACAACTTTTGGGAAAGCAAGGCTATGTGAAATTCAATGGAAACGTCGGCTCAACTCATATCATTGTGGGAAAATTCTTCTTCTACCAGTCCTTCATCACCTTAAATGAAATAGGGTAAATACATCTCATATTACTGATCTACTGGTAGACACGAAAAACAATACTTAATTCGAAAAATAAGAAACAGTAGGTAAAGATGTCCGAATGGGAATTCTGCTTAGTGGCTACAGGGTAGATATTAAAGTGTGGGTCAACCAAGGCATATGGACACATGTTATTGGGTCTCCCCTGAGTGCCACCCCAAGTTGCTCAGTTAATAAATTTAGGGAATCTTCCAGAGTAGGTAGATAAACCTAATATGCACCTCGAATGAGGCTGCCAGATTTGGTTTTCATATAGCAGACATCATTTCAGCATACCTAGAAATATCTAATCACGGAGGGAATTGCAGAATGTATTGAGCTTTACTCTAGGGTCAGTGGACCATTTCAGATATGAAATCACATTTTAAAGAGCAAATTGTCTCGATGTATTCATGTCTTTGAAACGATTATGAGAGATAAATTTAAGCTAAAAAACGGTGTAGACTATAATGTTGGTTTTACTTCATTTCCGCAACTTGGTAGGGGTGAAAGGGAGACAGTGTGGAGCGACCTAGTTCGAAGTCATCTGCCAAATTAGTCATGATAATTTCCAATATCTAATCATCGAATTGGTCCCTTCCATCCTCAGTACAGAGTTAGAACTTGTCAATTTGATAAGTTGTAACTCTGTGCTTAGGGTGGTGTCTCTCACTGACGATGCCGATAAAATGTCTGGGAAGGTACCAGGTCAACGATTAGAAGTTGGAAGTTATCATGATCAATTTGAAAGAGGACGTCGAACTAGGTCGTTCCACAATGCTTCATTTTCTCTCCGACCAAGTTGCGCAAATGAGGAGAATTCAACACCATAAAGCTAAAGGCGACTCGACCAAACACAAAGCCGCGCCATCTTGGTCTTCCCATCTATGCAGCCTAACTATCCATGTAGTTGGAGCATAATTATTGAACTTACTTCAATTTCGAATGAAGGGGTTCTAAGGTCGATCCAACTAGAGAACCTATATACGAACACATCAAGGAACATAAACACACACATATAGACACACTCACATGCCTCGAGGTTGACATATCACTTGAACTAATCAAATCACTTTATACCTCACCGGAGAGCTTAGATATAGTGTATATATACAGCAGTTAGGGAAAAGTCGGTGAATTTTCTTGACTCGCTAGCCTGAATATGGTTGTAAGGATGATACCCTGCTTTGATGACGCCCGTCATACGACGGACGAAAGCTTAGCACGTTTTCACTGAACTCGTAGAAGATTACTTCGGAAATAGCTTCAACAAGAATGTTCCAATAGAGCCAATCAACAGCTGGTCAGGAGGAATCCGTCGATGCCTTCTAAAGGAATCGACTCTGGCAGCTCTTCACCAAACACTTTAGTCGAAACGGAAGTAAGCTCAAGCATTGAGAAACAAGAGATTTCTCGAAACCTAACTTTTCTTCGCAAATAGATAGGACGCTTGTATTTGAAGATATTCACAGTTCCGTGCGCTAAAATGCCGAAAAATGCATTTTCTCCTTCGCCGTGTTCTTATCCAACCAACATGCTTGTTCAAATAAGATAAAAAGACCCATATACAATAATTATACCTTTAAAGGCCATATACTTCGTACTCATTAGTCCACTGGTTTTCAGGAAAAACGTCATTTACTTCAAGATATCCCTTTAATTACCTTCCAGCGTACTGACAATACCTGGATGAAGGAATGCAAGTTGGACTAATTTTGTGTCTGTCAATGAGGACATGAGGGAAGTGAATGCCACATCTTTATTCGCAAAAATTATGTTTGCGAAACTATCAGCAACTCTTGGATGAGAGTTCAGTGTAGCCTATTTCACATAAGGTGATAAAAGATGGATAGATGAATTTTCCAACAACAATGCCACTCCAATTTGCCTACCCTTATCTCCCAAAAGGTTGTCTCATCCCGGCTGAAATACAGTCTTGACCTCGCCTGGGCCTCATCGGCTTCTCCAACGGGAATCGAACCCGAATTGTGCAAAGTAAAATCTTGACAAGGGATCAGCACATCACACTTCCACGAATGCCAGCGGTTCACGGTTCAGCCATGAAGGCATAAAGTCCATTCTGGATGAGGTCACCGAATGAAAATCAAGGCCATACGAAATTCACTGGAAGCGTATGATTGTGGGAGAATCGAACTATCACTCGTTCATCAACTTATGCGACCTGGGGTGACTGAAGCGCTTACTTGATTTTTGCAATGAATCCAGCATTTACGGGCATCCAAACCACATTTTAGGCTGCGTCAAGGTGCTAAAATTGCCACCTGAATCGGACAATCTGACTTTGAGTTGGTTTGGAGGTAGTGGCAAGACGAAGGCGAGGTGAAAACTGCCGCACAGCTCGGAGGAGAAGACTATGTGGAATTCGATGGCGTCGTCAGGCTTTATATTCACACCATTGCTAAAAGATCGCATCGAGCAAACTTCTAATTATAATTGTTGGGCTTACTTCCATTTCTAGTAGAAGTGTTTGGTGAAGAGATTCGAAGGTCGGTTCCACCAGAAGACGACGGCGAATTCCTCTTG